TTTTTATTTAATGTCTAAATATACATGGTAAATCATAAGAAAAACAACAAACTTTTAAATTTTAGCATATCACAAAACACTCAACAACCTCTTTAGTTTCAATTTGTTTTAAATCTATGTAAAATAGATGATGCTCACACAGCACTAATGATGTGAGACCATGTTTTTGGCCAGGAAAAGAAGTAAATACATCTAACCTCCATTCCAGTATACAAATATTTGTCAAACTAATTTTAAATGACGTTAATAGTATTAAACTAGTAATAGTAGGTAAAACTACTTCTACTGAAAAGCTGCAATCACACTGCACTTTTCACTCCATAGACTACCGCGCATAGACATGCGAATGCGACAGACCAGAAACGCAAGCGTGTGTGATAAGTTTTGCATTTCACTGCATTCGAAAGTTCAAGCTAGAGGTCTGGATTCCCGCGGGACCCGACCAGATTTCTGCGGCGCAGGAATACATTTCCGAATAAAGCGCGGGAGCGATCGGTAATGGGTTTAATTCTGGGATGGGAGCGGGCTGTCTAGCAATATCGCGCCCGACTCCCGAGTGGCACGCGTATGTATGTGTGTAAATGAAATAGAGCAATGCTGTGTTTAGCTTGTTTGTTGCTGTGTGTATGTGCGCACGTGCGAATGAGGTGGGTGTGGGTGTGTGTGTGTGGGTGTGTATGCGCGCACGAATGAGAGAGAGTGTGTGTGTGTGCTTGGTGCTTATGTGTTTGTGTGTGTATTAGTGCGCGCGAATGAGAGAGAGAGAGAGAGAGCTTTGTCTGTGTGTGTGCTTGGTGCTATGTGTGTGTGTGTGTGTTTATACAGACAGCTTGTTATAGGCTGTCTGGATTCTGTATAGCTGGGTGGTTTTTGGTTTTGTTCTCCCCCCGCTCTTTCCAGCGGGATCTAGCAGGATCGAGCGTGGCGGGCAGCGGGACAACAAATGCTTAATATAAGCGTAAGCGGTCGGGTTCAAGCTAAAACCTGGCGGGTGCGGGCAGGAGCGGGATTCAAAATTTAGTTCCGCGCAAATCTCTACAAGCTTGGTGAATTCTTGCCTGCAAAAATCACAACAGGTGATTGCATTAGACCAATAGAGAACAATTTAAATAAGAAATTTATAAAATATGGAGCAATCACTCACTTTTATTAAAGTCTAATCATATTGTTCAATTCCACCACTTATCACAACGCCAGACGACAGTACTTATTTTTTTTTGTTGCAATTTTTATTTTTTTTATTCCAAATGCACCAGCGACATTGTGGTCCAGTGGTCAGCATGTTGCGTTATGATGCCGCCTACCTGAGTTTGAACATTGCCTGAGTAAATTTAAAGAGTCCCACTCAGCTGTCGGGTGGTGGTGGTTTGGTGGTGTTTGACAGGGTGCGTGCAACGTGTCTGAGGAGCGAGGAGGGATGCAGTAGGAAGGGGTGAGAAAGATCGGGAGGGAGACGCGTGATTACCGGGAGATTATCACTCGTTTGCGGGCATCCGGGAGTCTCTGTGCATTTGTGGATAACTCCCGAAACTTCCGGGAGACTTGAGATGTCTGGAATGACCTCCCGCCCTCTCTCTTCATATAGCCGTATGCCTATTACATATCCATAAAAAACTGTGATATAACCGGGTTCGGATTGCTTGCTTTCTCACTACAATCAATCCGCTCCAGAGTTCGTTTCAATTGAGCTGAGACCACCTCATTCCAGCGATCTCGGAGCGACTGTTTTGGCGCGGATCCGAGCGCGATTGGTGGATTCACATATGTCAAATGAACCGCGCTAACTGGGCAAATGAGACAGGTTAACCCATACTGTTTCCTTGAAAAAGACATGATCGTGTCATCATTAGAAACTGAATTGGAAATTACGTTATTTTAATATAGTCAGTAGTGAACTGAGATGGTCCGGTCTAAAGCTTGAAACTCAAGGGCTGAAAAATGAGTCCCACTCCGGCCCTGTATCCCTCTTAACCAAGTTCACAGATTACAGCTAACCCAGAACTCAGCAGCTAGGATTGTTGTAAAATAAAACAAAATAAAAAGGCATTAAGAGATTGATTTTGTTCCAGCAACCAGCCGTTGAAAACTATAATTATATCACATATTATAAAAATATTAGAAAATATAACATTAGAAAATAGCTAACAGCACTGAACCTTGTCGAATTAATAAATCTAAAGCGACCAGAACAGCTGAATCTTCTCTATTTGGGGTCAAGAACTCAAGTCTTGGCGTAAAAGCCTGTTGCTAGCGTAGCGCAAACGACTGACACACACTGGCGTGACAGCACTAGCGGTTCAGCAGTTCCTGTTTGTGTTTACATGCGCACTGTCACGCCACTCTGGCCAGAGGGAAAGGTGTGCGCTGGAGGAATCTCTCCAGCATTCACGGCAATGATTAAGCTTGTCTATGAACATGACGTGGAGAAAGAAAACTGTATGGAAATTTGTATAAACTTTACAAATGCCTGAATGGCAAGGGATTTGGCACTGGCACTTGTTTAGGATAAGCGTTTCTCAATGTGAGTGTCAGAGGAAGGGCTGCACGATTAGGTAAAAAAAAAGGCATGGTGATTCCTTTTGACAAATATTGTGGAATTTGATATGAATTGTGGTTTATTGTATTTTTCCCCTAATTTCTGTTTAACAGAGAGAAGATTTTCTCAACACATTTCTAAACATAATAGTTTTAATAACTCATTTCTAATAATAACTGCTTTATTTAATCTTTGCCATGATGACAGCAAATAATACTTTACTAGATATTTTTTAAGATACTAGTATTCAGCTTAAAGTGACATTTAAAGGCTTAACTAGGTTAATTAGGTTAACTAGGCAAGTTGTGGCTGTTAGACAAGTCATTGTATAACGATGGTTTGTTCTGTAGACAATCGAAAACAAATATGGCTTAAGGGGGCAGGAACATAAGCCTTGATTAACAATGTAAAACAAAAATGTATTCATTGTATGCCATGTGAAGCGTCTTCTTGTTAAATGTATAAATCTCAAAGTATTAATAAAAAAACTTTCCTAAAACTTTTCCTAAAAAAAAAAACAGAACAGTTGATTTTTCTCTATTTGAGGTCAATAACTCAAGTCTTGGTGTAATATAACATACAATAATGATACTCAAGTTTTACCTATTGGTTTACGTATAAATCCCATCGTTAAATGTATAATTCTCAATATAAAAATATATCAGACCAGCTGAATATTCTCTATTTGGGGTCATTAACTTGAGTCTTGGTGTAAATTAAATTAAATTAAAATAAATTAATGATACTCAAGTTTTTCCCACCTGTTTACCAACAATGTAAAAAAAATAGGTGTTCACTGCACATAACAACACTGAACCTTGTAAAACAAAAATACATTTTCCTAAAACTACTCAATTTGGGCTCAAAAACTCAAGTCTTGGTGTAAAATAAAATAATATAAAATAACAAAAAAAGATGAAAAAATTATTTAAATTAAAAATAAAAATAATAAATAATAAAATAAAATCAATACAATAAAAAAATAATATAAAATTATAAGACATTAACAGATTAATTTGGTTTCAATGACCAGCCTTTGAAAACTACAATTATGTACATCATTTAAAAATATTATAGATCTGCATCTGGTGCTAATGCGACCAGAAAAGTGGAATATTCTCTACTTGGGCACAAGAACTCAATAAAAAATGTAATAAAATAAAATAAATAGAAGGCCAATTTGGTCCCAACAACCAGCGGTTGAGAATTTTCATATAAGATAAAAATATGATATATCTGTATAAGGTGTATATTTATAAATGAACAAAAACACACTGAACCTTGTAAAGCGTCTTCTGGTTAAATGTATGTAAAATGTAAATGTAATTGCATATGAGCTTTGCTTGGTCAGGCTCCCCTTTATATTCAAGATCTTTTACATGGTCACTTCGATGGCTGGTCTCTGAGGTCTTCTGGCAAATTCCCAGAACATGACTTAAGAGTAAAGGTGACCGTGCTTTCTGTGTTGTGGCCCAAGGCTCTGGAATCTCTCAAGAGGGTTTGTGCGACTACTATACAGGAGTTATTATTATGGATTATAGACAGCAAAATTTGCCGTTTTTTTTTTAAAGCATGACAGCAAAACACGAACGCTGTCATAAATGTATTAAAATATGCCTGTTTGTTGCAAAAATTTGTAATTTTGACAAGTTTGTGCATCTCCTGACTTGTGTGCACCTGTGTGCAGCCATGTTGCCGTTGTAGCTGGTGTATTCTGGGAAATTTCCTTGATTTCTAGTGTGGTCCTGAAAAATCTCAGTTTCGAGGGATATCTATCCCTTCCCCTTTGTCCTACACATTCAAGATAAAGATAAGTGGGACACTTCGAAACGTTCAAGTGAACACGCAAAAAGAAGCAAGGGGAAGGGCTAAGAGGTAGAATTGGGCCTTAATGTCTGTGAAATGTGCTTTATCAGTAAACCTTTACTTACTTACTAATGTAAAAATATTATAGGAAATACTGTGAAAAATTTCTGCTCTGTTAAACATCATTTGGAAAATTTTTGGAAAAGAAAAAAAAATGCACAGGAGGGCTAATTATTTATAACAGTATATATAAACAATTAATTGATGGAACTCCCAGTAATGATACACCATCGTGTTATCGGGATATGAGAAGCTATCCTAATACGGAGGGCTTCAACTAATTAGTTAATTGAATTTTGGTTTTTTTTGATAACACTTGTCGAAAAAGAAGAAAAATCTCTTTACCAACACAATAAACGCTGACCTGCAAATATCAAATGTCACATTATGGGATGGAGATGGATGCGTCTGCTTGTTAAACACAGCGGCAGGTGATCTGATTGACAGAGCGGGTGATGTGCAGCACTCCAATGCTGAATATACAAATGCATACACATACACACACATATACACGTCTCTGTTTGCACAAAAGTACAGAACTGGCCTCTGAGTATCCACACATTCACAAACGTCTGCTAACACACATACACACACTGACCTGTTTGCGGACATATTCGACCATCATCTCCAGCTGTCTGGGGTCTTCACACTGTCTGTTGAAAATGTTCCTCCAGATCGCCGCCGCAAGAACGCAATCGTCTGAGAGGATTCCCTAAAACACACATTTACAGGAACACTAAATCTGACTGTTTGCTCAAAAGCTCTTGAGTGACAGTTAAATTGTCTGCAGCATTATGTTTATGTCTAGGTCATAATACAGGCAAGCTCTTTATAAAACAGGGCATGGTAATGTTAGTTAATGTACTCTTGTAAAATTATGTTTGCTGTTTGCTCAAACTACTTATTTGAAATGAGCTAAACAACACAATTCTTGAGTTTTTTTTGCATGTGGTTTTATGAGATCCTTTTAATTTGGCAAAATCTCATTTAGTTTACTTAATTCCTTTATGTCATCCCAACACAAATCGATTGTGTGGAACCCAGCAGTTTTTCCATTATATTTATTAACCTGGACAAACAATGAACAATACTTGTTCTGCATTTATTAATTACAATTAAACAATTACTAATGCAAGCAAATGAGTTAAAACGAACAATGAATTACTTTATTATCAATTACTAATGTTAACAAAGATTAATACAAACTGAAATAAATGTATTGTTCAGTGTTCGTCATGTTAGTATATGCATGAAGTATTGTACAATTTTACTAAATATGATTAAAATATTCCAAAACAGACGTTTAAATAGTTACAGTGTTGTGATTCCATCTTGGTTTGGTTTTACATGGTGATATGTCTAAATAAATCAATGTTTGTCATAAGCATAAGCAGTGTTCAATCTATAACGTTGCCTTTGGGGGAGCCTACTTTATTTTCAAACGGGGGGAGGTTTCAGGGGGTGTCGCTTTGATTTTGAGAGTCCCTTGCCACAATGATGTAGACCAGTGGTCCCCAACCTTTTTATCACCGCGGACTGGTCAATGGGTGTCAATTTTACAACGGACCGGTGTGGGCCGTGGGCTAGGGTGCTTCACGTGAACACCTACATCGCTCGTGCATCCAGGTTAATCATGAACAACTCAGTGCGCATGCGCTAGTTGCACTATCGCGGTCTGATTATGTTTCAATCAAGGTTTATTTGCATCAAATACATAACATCTGTGCCAAACATTTCAACTGACGAACATATTAACAATAATACAACCGTATAGCCAAATTAAACGTATGCATTGGCATGTTACAGCCCTAATGAGTATGATTATGTGAAACTCCATATAGATACATATTGCAATGATTTCGGGTACTTAGCGATGCACCCACACATATATGCACAATCCTTAAATGCTCTGCTAATTTGGACTCTATAATACCTGTTTTATAACTTTAAACTATCAACAACCACCACTTAGCTATATTCTATCGTAGTTTCGCTCCATGGTGGATTTTGGCATAGTCCATTTCACATGAGATGGCGAGGGTGAGTGGAAGAAACCAAGTCTCGGGGGGAATATTTTCTACAGAAATAATTTATGATTTCTTATGTGGCCCGGTACCAATTGTTCCACGGACCGGTGGTTGGGGACCACTGATGTAGACTATAAAACACACAGGACCCCAATTCTTAAAGGGTCACGAAACACCAAAAACACATTTTTTTGAGCTGTTGACAGTGATATATGTGTCCCACGCAGCAATAAACACTATTAGGACACTATTAAGTGAAAACTGGTTGTTTTTGCGTTATTTCGAGCAAATTCGTTCTTCCGGTTTAAAACAAATTTTTGAAGCTGCGTCACGCCGATTAGATCCTAGTGTGTATTCCAGTGTGGAGAGTGAATGTCTTTACCTGCGAGTGCATTGGGACATCTCTGAGTGTGCAGCATTCATTCATGAGAAACACTAGGTTCAAACCAATCAGCACGCTCTATTATGTATGTGGCTTAACTTCAGTAATATGCATGACAGCTTCGAAGACTTGTAACTTTACCTGTTACAGTGTTTAGATGGCATGGAGATGCTGCGTTGTTTGCCAAAACAAGTGGAAGAAGAAGAATTGTTTGGAGACACAGGTCATCAGTGTTGCGTTTATAAATGTGCTGCAATGAAGGTTATGTTTTCATTTCCTGCTATGAGAGCGCAGCTGGACTCACATGTAGAATATAATGCACTTGACAGAAATACGTTTGTACGGAACATTTTTTACTCAAGAGCTTTGTGAAATCCGAATTTGCGCTCGTCTCCTTTTAATAAAGACGCGGTTGCAGTTGGTGTTGACTGTCCTGTGTCTACAGATTTGGTAAGTGTGTGATCAGTGTCTTTGTTTGTTTATTCAGATGGCAAAGTTAGTTTGTATCGTCAGCAGTACTCTTTCATTGTTTAAAGACAGACCTTAGTCAAAATGATTTAGTTACTAAGTTTACAGTACGTTAATGTCACTACAATATTATGGACTGAAAGATCCCCTGCAAATGCTGTTCTCCGAGTGTAAACATGTAAACACTGCAATCAAACAAATTACCTTAGTGTAGGATTTTCACTGCATTTTGTGACAGGATAGTGTATACACACACGGATTTCTGAAGCTACCTATCGAGTGCATCCAAGTTACCGAAAAATTCTGTGTTTTTTTTTTATCCGATTCGCCATGCAGTATCAAACATTCCAATAAAACAACACTCTTCCAGCAGTCCCTCGAAGGTAATATCTTTAATAATTTGATGATTAATGTTCATGTATTGGGGGGTCTATAAATCTATAAAAAACCTATAAATACAAAACAAATATTTATATAATTGTAACGAATATTACAAAGTAATCTAAATGAGAAAACCCATTTTGAGGGATTTATTTTTACATGCACAAACAACAGCCTAAACAACAGTGGATTATAGTCTAATTTTACCTCAAGTACTTCTGTGAGAGGAATACTGCAATATACATTAATTTATATAAAATCAACAAACACAAACATGTTTCAGTTAACATAATAAATAACCTCGTCATGTAGCCTATCATTTTTCTATTCGCTCTAAGGTCAAGAAGATCGCACCAAGGACAGCATAGGCTTTTTTGTTTTACATAGGCCTGTAGAATGTCATGGGATCTCACTTTTCACTCCAGTAAAATGTAATCGCAAATTGGAAAATGAAAGAAACACCAGTGAAATGGGTTCTTTTATTGGTCAGAGCGGACTTTAAGTGCTTACCTCATCATATCCAAAAAGTGCAGCATAGAACGTCTCAGTCATCACCTTCATGCTCTCCTTCCTCTGATGAGCATCAATCTGCGAAAAGACAATAAATTAATCCTATTGAGAAAATAATAAAAATATTAATATATAATCACATAAAATACTAAAAAGTTAAATAAAATGCAAGTAAAAATACAAATAAAGGTAAATATGCTAAACAAAAATCATAAAACTATATAATTGAAGTCAAACAAAATAATAAAATAAAATTAACCCATGAAAATTACCTAGTTAGTAATCAAAATAAAGGAAATCAATCATATTTGTGACCACATATTAGTCTTTATTGACAAGACTACAGTGCTCAGCATATATTAGTACACCTCTCACAAATCTGTCTTTTAAATTCATATTTTTAATAGGATTTTTAATTTTTTTTAATAATAATTTTATTTGTGCATAAACATTAGATTAGTCAGTACTGAAGCCAAATCTGGAGCTTATCAAACAAAACAACTTATGATAAAGCTCCAAAAACTAGTAGAGCCAAATTTATATATTATAAAAAAATATGAAATACAAATTTAAAAAAGTATTTAAAAAAAGAAGAAAAATTTGTTGCAATTTTGTAGGATGTAATTATTATTATTATTATTTTTTGCAAAATAGTATTTTGCTTGAATTTATTTGTATAATTTAACAGTCTTTCAATTTCTAAATATGTTTGGTGACTAAAATATTATTGGAACAAATATATCTGTTTATTAAATCTGTTTGTTGAAATGCACCAAAATACATTGCATATATTTACTGAGAAATGGAGAAAAATATTCATTTTTAAAAAGGGGTGTACTCAATTATGCTAAGCACTGTAAATGAATGAAAATATATTGTATGAGTCATAATTATAGTTTTCTTTTATGCCAAAAAGCATCAGAATATTAAACAAGGATCATGTTCCACGAAGATATTTTTTAAATTACCTACTGTCAAAATCAAAACCTTTCATTAGTAATGTATATTGCTAATAATTTGTTTAACTTAAAAAGAATTCCCTCAAAATGTTCTTGATTTTTTTGCACCCTCAGATTCCTCATATTTAAATACAGGGTGGGCCATTTATATGGATATACCTTAATAAAATGGGAATGGTTGGTGAAATCAACGTCCTGTTTGTGGCGCATTAGTATATGTGAGAGGGCAAACTTTTCAAAATGGGTGGTGGCCATTTTAAAGCCGGCCATCTTGGATCCAACTTTTTTTTTTTTCCAAAGATAGTGGGGCCATTGTTCATCAATGGAAACCACAAGGCCACTGGATATTTGAAATTGCTACATAATGATGTGTTTCCCTCTTTATGCACTGACGCTGGCAAGTTCTCCAAGTTTTTCCAGCAAGATGATGCACCACCACGTTATGGGTGTCAGGTTCGAGCATTTCTACATGAACAGTTTCCTTAAAAATGGATTGGTCATCGTGGGCCAGTTGAATGGCCCCCAAGGTCTCCCAATCTGACTCCCTTAGACTTATCTTTGGGGTCATCTGAAGGCAATTGTCTATGGTGTAAAGTTACATGATGTGCAGCACCTGAAACTACGGATACTGGAAGACTGTGCTGGCATTTCTCCTGCGGTGTTGCAATCAGTGTGTGAAGAGAGGGAGAAGAGGGTTGCATTGACAATCCAACACAATGGGCAGCACATTGAACACATTATATAAGTGGTCTGAAACCTGTAAATAACTTAAGAAAAAATAGTTACTAATTATTTCTTGTTAAATTCCCAATAAGTTTGATGTGTCAAATGACCCTCTTCCTATTGAAAAAACAAAAGTTGGATCCAAGATGGCCGACTTCAAAATGGCCACCATAGTCACCACCCATTTTGAAAAGTTTGCCCCATTACATATACTAATGTGAATATTTTTCTATTCTAACAAACAATACATCGATAGATAGCTAATTTTGTTGGGTAATGCATAAATCTCAATTTCAAAAAAATTATTATAACTGATTTTGTGGTCACATATTAAAACTCACACTTCATTGATTTCATAATATTAGTATTTGCCAATAAACCACACACACTCACACACACACAAATAAATAAAACTAATAAATAAATAAGTAAATAAATTACTACACCAGACCATTTTATGACCAGAAATTGAAACTATAATAACACTACACTAAATTCTTCCATTATAAATTTTAATTTGTAAAGCATCACTGATCTGCTTAAAAAGAAAAGTTGAGCTATGAAGTAAAACAATTTATCACACCAACCTGCCCATCAACAAAGGGTCAAAAAGTACAATCACATTAAACTTTGAGTAAAAAAAAACTAAAAAAAGGATACCACAGTGGCTTAGTGGTTAGCACTGTCACCTCACAGCAAGAAAATCGCTGGTTCGAGTCCCGGCTGGGCCAGTTGGCATTTCTGTGTGGTTTGCATGTTCTCCCCATATTGGCGTCGATTTCCTTCAGGTGCTCCGGTTTCCCCCACAAATCCAAAGACGTGCGCTATAGGTGAATTTGATGGACTAAAATTGGCCGTAGTGTATGAGTGAATGTGGGAGTGTATGGGTGTTTCCCAGTACTGGGTTGCAGCTGGAAGGGCATCTACTGCATAAAACATATGCTGAAATAGTTGGCGGTTAATTCCACTGTGGCGACTGCTGATAAATAAGAGACTAAGACAAAGGAAAATGAATGAATGAATAAAAAGCGAGTAAAGATCTTTCACCGTGACTTTTATTTAAGTTGTAAAGCATCGTTGAGTCACCAACAGGTGAAACTAACATGCCTAACAGCATTAAACCCATAACTGTGATCTCAGAGCTGGAATTGTCCTTGGCAGTAAATATCCAACATGTGGATGAATATGCAGCAATCTTAACCCTGAAAAACTAAAGCAGGACTGGATCTGAACGAAACTAAACACACAGCGACCACAGACACCAACCCTGGGAGGTTTGGGTGGGGAGAATTTCAAAACAACTGTGTTTATGCTGAAGTCTTGTATGTCGGGTTTTCTGCATGCTTGGAGTGCGTCGGGTTGCAGCGTGTGTGTGTGTGTGTGTTCGTGTACACACAGGCAGAAAAGCACCTGTGCATAATTACGCAGACCTGCAAATAATCAATCTCATCTGGCTGTGCTTTAACTCTTCTACCCTCCCCATCTCCTCGGCACGATCACTCTCTTTGTGTTCCTGCTACAGCCTGAAAACATTTGACGCAAGTATGTGGACGTCAATTTAGAGAAATTCACATTGGAAGTGATGCAGATCAATTGAATCACGTGACTCTTATTGAACGGCTTTTTATGTTGATTCATTTCAGCTCAATAACTGTATTAATGTTAATTCATTTCCGTTTAACTACTGTCAGCGTTGATTCAATTCAGTATCAATGTTGAATAGGTTCAGTTCAATAAATGTCAGTGTTGATTCAGTTCAATGATAGCGTCAATGTTGATTCAATTCAGTTCAGTAACCGAATGAATTAATAGGCTGTGTCCGAAATCGCCTACTACTAGAGTCAGTACTACATTTGAATTTACTATACCAACCATTAGAAAGTGTACATTCTGTATATTATGAATGTGAATAATATGAATTGAATTTGGACATTCTATATACACCATTTGTCATTATCATGTGACCAACCCACGTTAGTTGTATCGCTTCACTCCCATTCATGAATCATCTCATGGTGCATCATGGGTAGGCATAGGACGATAACCGTTTTCAAGGCATACCGCGGTTTGGAAAAGTCAAGGTTTTAAAACCGGCACATTTTTTTGTAATACCGTTCCTAAGGTATGTGTAACATTTTTTATCTACATTTTTAAAAAAACAACAGTATCTTAAGCAGTAAAAAAAATCCAAAGATGCCATTTTAAATTGTAAAGAAATGTGTGTTTTTGTAACTAATGAGAACAGCAGAAGTCAATGATTCATTGTAATTATTTAGCCTGAGATTTTTACTACTACTAAATATTATAAATCTTTCAAAAAATAAAATATATTGTTTTCAAAGAGGAATTTTTTGTTGCTGTTTTTTTACCCAGAAATTTTAAAAGAATACATTTTGGAGCAGCAATCACAATATTGTGATACCGTGAAAGCGTGATATTTTTATCCAATGTTATAATACCATCAGAATCTTATACCAACCCATGCCTAATCATGGCATAGTAGTGTCCATCAGATGCACACTTCAGAACGTCGCCGGTAGTATGTTGTCATCCAGGTACTTTTTGCATGCTGTTTTTCGAAAAATATGAATTCGGATATACTACTCGGCTCGCATACTGTTTTTACCGTACTATAAAGTATGGAAGTATGCGATTTTGGACGCAGCCATAGTTAATCAATTATAAAAAAAAATTTATTTACCCAAAATGCAGCACAATTAGCTGTTAAAATCTAGCCCAGAGCGCCACCTGCAGTTAAAAACTAGCCTAGAGCACCATCTGCTGTTAAAAACTAGCCTACAGCACCATCTGCTGTTAAAAACTAGCCTAGAGCACCACCTGCTGTTAAAAACTAGCCTAGAGCACCACCTGCTGTTAAAATCTAGCCCAGAGCCCCACTTGCTGTTAAAAACTGGCCTAGAGCACCATCTGCTGTTAAAAACTAGCCTAGAGCAGTGTTTCTCAACTGGTGGGTCGCGACCCATTTTTAGTGGGTCGCAGAGTGTATGGTCAAAAAACAACAACAAATGTTTCATTTTCAACCTATTTTGCTTAAATTAGACTTTTATTTTGAAATGCACGAGCGACAACTGTACCATTTGACATGTAAAATTTTATTTAAATATAGCAACAAATATGTCAAAGCACGAGTAAGACCACGAATATGTAAATAATGTATTTACACATATTGATGACAAAAGAAGGCTTAAAACCACAGTGTGTCATAAGTAGTGATGTGCTCTCACAAGAGCACTTTTAGAAACCAAACATTTGTCGTTTTTACTTTGTAATATTTCTATAATTTGAGACATTTTGTTAAATGACAATAATAAAATATTGTGTATTTGTAAGTCTAAGAGATTTTCTTATGATTTATCTGTCACTACTTGTGTATGT